AGTTAACAACTATTCTGGTGTATTCAATTGGACAGCAATACAAGCAACACGTGCTAAATGTCATCTGTTAGCCTATGATGACTCGCTGCAAAACCAACTGTTAGCCTTTTTGTTTATTTGTTTAATGAAACCGTATGTTATGGTTATGTTATTTAGCAGAGGCTTTTATCCAAAGTGACTCACAAAAAACATAAAATAACCATAATTAACATTAGAATATCAATACAAATAGTTATATAGTCAGTTACATTACTTATTTTTAACAGGGTAATTAGTCATCTGTAACCTACTACATTTAAAAAAAGTAAACTTCCCAACCCTGATCATTAATTATAGTCAGCTAATTAATTAAACTTCAAAGGATGACAAAAGCATGTCAATATGATCTGTCTGTCCGCTACATTAAATCAGCAGTAGCCTAATATAAGTTCTGTCTTCAGTGTAAATGCTTCTTTAATAGTCATTGTATTACTATTTGAATTCATTGTAAATAATCTTAACTGTGCTGACTGCCTGTTTACTGTTTATCGGACAGTCTCATAATTCTGACATGTTTTGCAATATTGCATGAGGTGTTTTAGTCAGTTATTATTATTCTCATGGAGCGTTTTGAAACACAAGGGTATGAAAGCCCTTAACAATATGTGTGTTTTAATTTCAGTAATACTTTATTTTGAGGGTCACTTGTAGATTATCTACAATCTGTCAACAAACTCAGTAGCATGTCAATATAACATCTGTTAGTTATATTAGGTTAACCATCTACAGATCAGTAGACCATCAGTAACAAGAGCTGTAAGACTCTGGATGGAAATATCTGTTGAGATCATTTATGCATATCAATTGTGCACCAATGCCTTAGCCTTTCCCTATGCAATACTTTAGATTACATCTTGTTCTTATTGTTTCAAAGGCATGGCCAAAGGTTTGCCTTCTGGACTCTGGAGGCCAGAAGCTTGCTCGAGGGAACCCTTCAGCCAGTGTTCAGAGTGCCACGACAGAGTGCCAGAATGGATATCTCCCAGGAGAAGGTGGTCAACAGCAGACCAACAGCAGATTGAAGAATCCAGTGTGGAAATTGTGCCCAATAAATGTATTCTGCACTGAAATGCCTCTCTGTCAAATTGTATGTTTATCTTTTGCAGCCTGGTGCATAAACACACTAACAGTTGTTTTTCAGTAATCTAGCACCTCTTCAGAGACACATTTGATTTGATTTATTTAGAAGGTGTAATACAATAAAAAAATATATATAATAAATGTATGTCTACATACAATATACATTTACAATTATAAATAGATGATATCATTATTACTACAATATATATATATTTACGTTGTATGTCAAATTTGATAAGACAAATATAAAAGACTATCTTTTTACATCTGACATACAAAATACATTTGATATTAACAACAAATTGTTGTTGTAAAAAATAAATAAAATAAACAATAATAAATATAATAATAATAATAAAAACATATTTTCATGCTTGTAAATGTCTACTTTTGCGATTTTCATGCATTTTTAGATGGTTGTGTCTACTTTTGCGGTCATCCAATCCGTTAGGTGGCGATGTTGCAAAACCACTATGGTCCTGAGGGTGCGGTCCTGAGAGTGCAGCCTCCGACGCTGCAGCTTCATACTATTGCCCCACAGCTGGAGGGAGGTCGACGCTCGTGAACTGTCAACGGGGGGGGGGGGGGGGCGTGAACTGTCAACTGGGGGGCGGGGCTCTGTCATCTGTCAGCGCAACTTACACAATGCCGTTTAAACACAGTTAAATAAATAAAGGGCGGTGCCGGCCGTCAGCTAACCGAGCCCAGTCGTCAACGGCCCGCTGGCGACCGGCTCGGTTCGCTGTCGACCGGACGTACTGTGATTCTCCAGAACACACAGTTGGCCAGTCCGCCGCTGTGTAGCATATTATTTTCAATGTCGGATGAGCAGATCGCCACTGGGCTTTCAACTAAAGACACAGCCACGCAAAAAAAGCGGCATGTGCAGCTCCTTATACTGCAATGTGTGAAGTGCGCTACACCCCTGATCGTTTCACCATGGAGGAAAGCAGCAGAAAGTTGACTGGAGTTCAAGAGAGCGGGGCATAGAAGATATCCTTCTGCGCTGCGTTGCGTGCATGGCTTCCTTCTGCAGGGGGAGACGCTCTCTGCCGGTGGTCTCGTTCAGGATCCGAAAATACAATTTAAATATTTTGCACACTTATTCCTAGTGTGCCACTGGTTACGGTCCCAAGGGTTGCCGACCCTTGCTTCCTCCAATCTGCACAAACTAGATATCATATGAAAGCTGAGATTCCACAGATTCCAATGGTATAAGTACGTTATCATAAAACGGCCTCTAGGTTAACTTGTTAACACTGGACCTTCATGTTTCCTACCTATTGTAGGTGCTTACAGCAGACAGTAGCTAGCAGTTTTCGACAGATACAGCCCACTCAAAAATATATTGTTTTATATCAAATTAATTGATATATATATATTAGCTGTACACTTTACGAATATAATAGTTTTTTATGGCATTAAAACGCATATAAACGCTGCTGAAGGTTAATCCAATGTCTCTGTGTCACTTTGAAATGATTACTGATAATCCATCATAACATATAGGTCAATAAACGTAGTTTTCATATAGAGTGTAACCGAGCTTCCGGTTTTGGGCATGCTGGCTGCACATCACTTTCATTCACCATCATGTTTAGATGGATTTCCCCCTCGATTCTATTGGCTCTAACGGTTCAAAAGAGGTGTCAATCACCAAAATCGACCATTGGGTTCCAGAGATATGGCAAATCCACCCAAATGACCCCAGAGGTGGGTTTATTTTGCTAAACCTCTCTAAAAAGGTCAAATTTCACTTGTTTTGCATCAATCTTGATACAGGGTACTTATTATATGTTATAGTTTGGATTCCTAAAGCTTTTAGTCTACTATCCCATCATTCAAGAGTGGTCTTCACTATAAGTAATGGGTTTTATTTTGGACGGAAACTATAATTTAAATATTTTTACTATGTTCAATCTGAATTTACTTTAAAATAAAAACATCTATATTGATTCTGACTCTTCTACATCCAACTCACAGGTTTATCATTGCTTTGAGAAAAAAGATTATTAATTTACCCCTTTTAGAAGGGAAGATATAATTTGTTCTTGGAATGTCATTTTCAGGTTAACCACAAATCCTGCTGCGTAGTACAGGCCTCAGGGCAGGGAAACAAACAGGCGGAAAAAACTGGTGAAGGTGAGTAGTGGCAAGTCCAAATATAGATCAGCCACGCCCAGCCGGAGAGACACAGAGAGAGAGAGAGAGAGAGAGAGAGAGAGAGAGAGAGAGAGAGAGAGAGAGAGAGAGAGAGAGAGAGAGAGAGGATCCTCAGGGTTCTTTACTCACACAGGCCTACAGGTGGTCAGACCTTCACTTATAAATAAAGTCCACGCTCCTCTTGATCTGGACCAACATTTCAGTGACTGTGTTGTAGAAACCCCCCCCCCCCCCCCCCCCCCCCCCTCTGTAAGTGAGAGAGAGGTCGTAGCTGAACATGTAATATTGGGTCTACAAACATGACAATGGTGTCATACAGAGAGAGTAACATGGGGGAGTGAGCCCGTCCCTCCATCTCTTTGTAGCCCAGTTTGATGGTGTTGACTCTATCAAACAGAAATGTTACAGGCTGTGTATTTTGTAGGTAAATATATTTGAACTCAGGTGTTGCTCTTCCTCCTCTGACGGCTCGTCCCTGTTGCACCGGTTTCCACGTGACTCTGAGGTGTTTTGATGAGGGTGTGACGGCGTCCTCAGATCAGATGCATGCAGACACAGGACAGACGAGGAAGAGCTGAGTTTCCTCCACACATGAAGAGAGTCTGTGAGTGGACCTGGAGAGAGTCTGTGAGTGGACCTGGAGAGAGTCTGTGAGTGGACCTGGAGAGAGTCTGTGAGTGGACCTGGAGAGAGTCTGTGAGTGGACCTGGAGAGAGTCTGTGAGTGGACCTGGAGAGAGTCTGTGAGTGGACCTGGAGAGAGTCTGTGAGTGGACCTGGAGAGAGTCTGTGAGTGGACCTGAAGAGAGTCTGTGAGTGGACCTGGAGAGAGTCTGTGAGTGGACCTGGAGAGAGTCTGTGAGTGGAACTGGAGAGAGTCTGTGAGTGGACCTGGAGAGAGTCTGTGAGTGGACCTGAAGAGAGTCTGTGAGTGGACCTGGAGAGAGTCTGTGAGTGGACCTGGAGAGAGTCTGTGAGTGGACCTGGAGAGAGTCTGTGAGTGGACCTGAAGAGAGTCTGTGAGTGGACCTGAAGAGAGTCTGTGAGTGGACCTGAAGAGAGTCTGTGAGTGGACATGGAGAGAGTCTGTGAGTGGACCTGGAGAGAGTCTGTGAGTGGACCTGGAGAGAGTCTGTGAGTGGACCTGGAGAGAGTCTGTGAGTGGACCTGGAGAGAGTCTGTGATTGGACCTGAAGAGAGTCTGTGAGTGGACCTGGAGAGAGTCTGTGATTGGACCTGAAGAGAGTCTGTGAGTGGACCTGAAGAGAGTCTGTGAGTGGACCTGGAGAGAGTCTGTGAGTGGACATGGAGAGAGTCTGTGAGTGGACCTGGAGAGTCTGTGAGTGGACCTGAAGAGAGTCTGTGAGTGGACCTGGAGAGAGTCTGTGAGTGGACCTGGAGAGAGTCTGTGAGTGGACCTGGAGAGAGTCTATGGGTGGACCTGGAGAGAGTCTGTGAGTGGACCTGGAGAGAGTCTGTGATTGGACCTGGAGAGAGTCTGTGAGTGGACCTGGAGAGAGTCTGTGAGTGGACCTGGAGAGAGTCTGTGAGTGGACCTGGAGAGAGTCTGTGAGTGGACCTGGAGAGAGTCTGTGAGTGGACCTGGAGAGAGTCTATGGGTGGACCTGGAGAGAGTCTGTGAGTGGACCTGGAGAGAGTCTGTGATTGGACCTGGAGAGAGTCTGTGAGTGGACCTGGAGAGAGTCTGTGAGTGGACCTGGAGAGAGTCTGTGAGTGGACCTGGAGAGAGTTCAGCAGGTGAGAATGCTCCCACAGGAATCTGTCTCATCATCAGGATCACTCTGATCACATTGTGCTGTGTCTCTGTTTACCTGGACACGTTTCTTCATGCTGATTCTAAATATCTGTTTGAAATATTGTGTTTCTCTCTGAGTTAAAGCAGAATGAATTTAGAAAGATTTCCATGTTCTGTTGTCAGTGTTTCTCAGGTAGAATGAGCAGCAGTCTGATTGTTATCTTAGATCACTAACATACAGAACACACATCATCAGTGAAAAATGCAGGGTGTGTCAGAACCGGTCTAAGAACTCTGATCATGTGACTGAGGTGCATTTATTTTTAACTCTTCATACTCTGACCTAAAGTGCATGGATGAAGTGGGAAGGGTAATGTATCCTGATTACTTTCTGTTATTTTTGGATTACCTCAATATCAAAAATAAATATCAATAAAATTGCTTTTACTTATTGTATTCTGATTTTGACCGATCAAGAATATTTCTCTAATTGTCCACAAAAGAGGCATAGGGAAAATGTAATTGTGATTAAAGTCCCTAACTGCATTTACATAACTAACTTCCTTATTTGTATATTTTTCTAAACATAACCCAGTAGTTGTGTTGTTGTGTTATTGAGAATGCAGTCGTACCGGAACATTGTTTTGTGGGAGGCTGATTTGTAATGCTCAGAGGAGAGGAGAACAATGGAGGCTGCTGCTTTTATTCACCTGGGTCCATGGGAAGGTCTCACCTGGGGTGAAGAGATGAGATGAGATCAGATGAGATGAGATGGACCGTTATTAATCCCCATGTTGAAACTCAGGAGTTTAAGCAGCAACAGGCTGAGAGAGAAAAGCAGGACAGCTCAGATTCACACAAGGATAATAAAATACAAATGATATACAGGTAAGTAGCTGTTAAGACAAACTGTTAAAACATGAAATGTATTACATGAAAGCTTGGTGCTGAGCTGAGGAGGGACGAGTCTGAACTCTTCATCTTCTCTCTCTCTGCATGGAGGGATGAGTCTGAACTCTTCATCTTCTCTCTCTCTGCATGGAGGGACGAGTCTGAACTCTTCATCTTCTCTCTCTCTGCATGGAGGGATGAGTCTGAACTCTTCATCTTCTCTCTCTCTGCATGGAGGGACGAGTCTGAACTCTTCATCTTCCCTAGCTCTGCATGGAGGGACGAGTCTGAACTCTTCATCTTCTCTCTCTCTGCATGGAGGGACGAGTCTGAACTCTTCATCTTCTCTCTCTCTGCATGGAGGGACGAGTCTGAACTCTTCATCTTCTCTCTCTCTGCATGGAGGGGGGGGAGGGGTTCTACAGGATACAGTCCAGCTTCCTCCTCCTCCTCCTCCTCCTCCTCCCCTCAGCACCTCCTCCAGATTGTCCAGTTTTAATTCCAACTCCAGAGCTAGTCTTCCTCACCAGCTGATCAGGCTGCAGGTACAGGTAGTGATGGAGGCTTTGACACCAGTGGATGCTTCTGGGAAATGGAGTCCCATTATTTATTGTCATGCTGTGTTTTGGTTGTTTGACGGTTCACATCATTGTTTGAGTGTAGATGGTGTAACCCGTTACACACTGCTGCAGCTGCAGGAAGAGTTAGCAGATGTAGGTCAGACATCTCTGTCAAACAATACGCTTTATCAACATGTTTCACAAAAATGTTAATGATAAGAAAAGGTTTTTATAAATATATAATTAATCTCACAATGTGTGTGTGGTCAGGCAGACAATCATGTGATCCACACTGCTGCTTCATCACATATCAGTGCTAATCTTAATTCCATTAGACGTTCAGTTAGCACCATCTAGTGGTCAACTGGTAGAACTACATCACCTCTCACTGACTGGGTTTCTGGCACTGGTTACACCAGATGTGTTTTTCTGAGGGTGTGACGGCGTCCTCAAATCAGATGCAGGCAGACACAGAACTGAAGAGGAAGAGATGAGCAGAGTCGTAACAAACCGACAACCTTTATTCCAAACATCAGAATTGAATTGCCATTCCTACAATGTAGCTTATGTGCATATGACAATAAAACCTTTGAATCTTGAATCTTGAATCTGTTCCGTCCAAAGATCATTGAGAGTGCAGATTGTTTTATGGAACATCATTTTCTTGGAGGCAGGGCTGTTAATATTTTGTGGATCAACACATAACAGTACGTTGTTGGGTGTGCTTTAATAAACTCTAACACCCCAAATATATTTAGGGGTCAACACACTGAGTCTCTGTGGGCCTGGGGCTGAGGGACACATGTTGGCCTGATCAGATCCTGTTGAGGCTCCATCAAGGTTCCTGTCAGCCTGAATATCTGAGAGGAGGAGCACTGATGTGTCCTGTGATGTAAAGCTGGTTGTAATGAATGAACATGTTGTTGTGTTTGTGTGAAGGTGGAGGCTCTGCTATGGATCAGTGTGAGGACCGAGAGGAGGGAGCCCCCCCCTCTAAAAGCTCTCTGTGTGGGGAACATGACCACCAGACCAAAGCTCAGAGGTGAGATCTCCAGTTGTCCATGACTCTTCTCCGTGTCACAGCTCAGCACTCATTACTCACACTCAGAGCTCTGTGTGTTGTGTTCCAGCCCAGAGCAAACACCACCCTCGGACATTGTTCTGTTAGCTCTTTGGTTCTTCTAACTTACTCCATCTTTTCAGAGATGTTTCTTTGATTCTTGTGTTGTTGTGTATTTCCTGTTGTTGTTTTTTCTCTGTTAGAAGTCAGATGTCCTCAAGTGGGACGCTAAAGAAGAACTGGACAGCTGAAACTGATGTGAAGCTAAAGGAAGAGCAAACTGATCCATGAACTGGAACCAGAGAGAATCTGCTATAACTAACTTTGTTCATTTTGACTTGTTTGTATCAGGAAGCAGCGGAAGAAACCTGGACCGCAATTTAAACCTAGACCAGAACCTGGACCTGTAAATGTACCTGTAGATGGACCAGGATCCAGCTGTGTGTCCATGAAGAGTGGCTGGTCTATGGAGTCTCCTCCTTACTTTAAAGTTGGACAAAGTGCTGATGAAAGGTAATAATTTAAAACTGGACTGCTCCAGCCTCCAAATTACCTCTCTTAAGTTGGTTTCTAATTACTTATATTTGTATTATGAATCGTACAATGAGCAAAGACAGATTACTCTACCAAATTAAGACATTAATCATGAATCACGAACCCCCCCTTCTGTTTGACGGCAGGAAGCGAGCTTTTAATGGCATGAAGGGCTGCGTGAGGTGTCTGGTGGTTTTATTACTCTGTTCTTTATCAGGATCCAGCAGCAGAGACCTGATCCCAGCTGTGTGTCCATGAAGAGTGACTTTTCTATGCAGTCTCCTATGAACTTTAAAGCTGGACAAAGTGCTGATGAAAGGTAAGAATTCCAAACTGGACTCTGTTACTATCTGACTCTCTTTGGAGAATAACCCCCCCCTCCACCTGCTGAGCCACAGTTACGCTGTTATTCTGTCTTCATCTCAGAACACCTTCAGTCAGCTGTGTGCAGATTAGAGTCTTTAAATGTTCTTGATGTTTTCTCCACAGAGTTTTGCAGGAGTTCTCAGAGGTTCCCAGTGATCAGTCTGCCCCGAAGCATCACACTGACCTGGACTCCATATTTATGGTGTGTACAAATATACATTTACTATGAACTACAGATGATCTACCATTCAGGTCCTGACAGTGTCCATGCTGCTCTGTTTAGACCAGCAGGCCTTCAGACGGACAGATGATCACATGTTGTCTTATTTAAATTAACTGTTGTTGCGTTGGTGGACCTGTATTCATCTCTGACTATTAATCAGACCTACTGATTGACCTATCAGAAGCTATTGAGTCTATGAAAGTTCACCGCCAGGCTCGGATCCACCTCTGAAAGGTCTTACCTCTGCTAACTTCTGGAGAACCAGGTTCAATTAATTGCTATTTGAAGGCAGACGACTACATCTGTTTAAGAGATCCCAGAGGATTCTGTAGTGAGGTGTGGCCCTACCTAAGTGTGAATGTGGCAGTCGTGCAATCTTACCTTAAAACAGGAGAGGACGGCAAATAGTTGCTTTAACGTTTTCCCAATCCAAATGTGTGGGATAGTTTAATTTAAATAAATGGTCTATACTCTTAACAGGGTTTTTTTTACTTCTCTCGTTACATTGGGACAGTTATTTCCCTCCGGAGTAAACTTCTGAGATATAATCAATAATTCACAGGTTTAATTTTTTTTCAAACCCCCGGCCAATCTTCTAAGGTAAATTCCTTTAAGTTGCCTTCTACGATACCTGGACAGCCCCGGAGTAAGAACACCCAGTCAGGCAGACATTGGGTAATACAAACCGATGACAAGAGGCTGCCTTAATGTTTTGGCTTTTCTTTCCTTCGTAGGATCTAGTCCTATCAAATATTTGTTCCTTAGTGTGAAGCCATATCCTTGATCATTTAAATCAAAATAACATTTAGTCTTCAAAGTATTATCCTTTTGTGTATACTGAGCTACTCATAGCAGCACTTCAGTTTACATCAGGGAGGATGACCTTCATACATCGAAGGTCTATAAGTCCACTTCGCATACATAACTGCACAGTGTCCTGTATGTGAAGTGGACATGGACTTATATCTCCCAAGTGTGTTAACCAGTGGCGGCCGGCCCATAGGGGCACCGCCCCCCCTCTTCCCACATTAAAAATTAAATAAATAAAAATATATATATTTAAAAAATATATTTTTTATTTTTATTTTTATTTTTAATGAACAAGGTAAATATTATATAATTGGTATCAGTAAAATGTATAATCTACAATAAAATCTCGTTTAAAATTGTGTTACGATGTCTAAAGTTACTGATAAGTCACATGTTTCCTGCCTGGCCTTGCCCGTGTATCATTACTCCCTCTCGTCTGGGCGCTATGTACAGCGCCCAGACGAGAGGGCAGCAAGTGCAGCAGAAGCCAACTGTTGCTATCTTTAAACTATGCCGCCGAAACATAATTTCAGCCAATCAGCGTCGTCAAATCTGATGGTCACAGGGCTCCTACGTGAGCGCCCGGTGCAGTCGGTGAGTTGTTTGGACTCGTATCCAAGGAGACAAAACAGGAAGCTGTCATACACTCTGGAAGCTACCATTAGCAGCTAATGAAAACTCCGTTTTTGACATAAAAATGGAATTATGGATCATCAATCATTTTTTCAAAGTGACAGACACATTGGATTAACATTCAGCTGCGTTTTTCTCATTTTTGATCAGAATTGTTATTCTGCAAAAGGTGAGCATATCTCCGTGTTTTGCTACCTAAAGCTACGTCGTGTGATGTCTGTATTTGCTTCCCCTGTCGCGAGTTCTGATCGCTCAGTGATGATACTTATATTTCTAGAATCTGTGGAATCTCAGCTTGTTAGCACAGTTTATGCTGTAGAAACTATGTCCAGGACAAGGTGTTTGGAAGTTTTGGAAGATATATAGCTAACCACACTGAAGTTATGGAGGTATTGATCAGTCTTCTCATATTTTTAAGCCTCAAATTCTTCCCCCCCCCCCCCCCCCTCTAACATCGCCAGAAGTCATAATTTAGGGGGTCTTTTCTAAAAAAATAACCATTTCCACAGCCCCACCTAAAATATTTTCAACCTGCCGCCACTGGTGTTAACCTGTTAAGCCCTGAGCCTGTTTTTCAGGTCTCAGGCTCGAAAATGACATTCCCAGAACAAATTACCATATCTTCCCTTCTAAAAGGGTTAAATCAATAATCTTTTTTCTCAAAGTAATGATAAACCTGTGAGTTGGATGTAGAAAAGTCAGAATCAATATAGATGTTTTTTATTTTAAAGAAAATTCAGATTTTACATAGTAAAAAACTGTAAATTATAGTGTCCGTCCAAAGATTATTTTTTACTTATAGTGAAAACCACCCTTGGATGATGGTAAGGTAGACTAAAAGCTTTAGGAATCCAAAGTACAACATATAATAAGTACCCTGTATCAAGATTGAAGCAAAACAAGTGAAATTTGACCTTTTTAGAGAGATTTAGCAAAAAGAAACCACTTCTGGGGTCATTTGGGTGGATTTTCCATATCTCTGGCCCCCCTTGCTCGATTTTGATGGTTGACACCTCTTTCTGACCGTTAGAGCCAATAGAATCGAAGGGGGAGTCCCCCACACACACTCATTGTGAAGAGAAGAGGTGGGGGCTTCGCGCATGTAATTTACCATCAGAGTGAACCTATCTCTAGCTTTGACATCTGGAAACGGAAAAGTAGTTTTAATGCTTATGGATGATCAGAAATCATTTCAAAGGGACACAGACACATTAGATTAACCTATGGATTAATTTCAGCGGCGTTTTCATCGTTTTAATGCCATTGAAGACCACTTTGGAGAGACTACAGAGCCAAGGTAAAAATGTTAGCATTTTTAGCTACCTAGCGTCACCTGTTTTGATGTCGGTTTTTGCTTATAACGTCGCAAATACGTATAATTCAGTGGTAATGTTGGTGTCCATCGATTCTGTGTCACCTCTCGATGTGAAACGATGTCATGGATGTCGAGAAGAGATAAATAATAAGGTTTTGTGAGTGATTTTCGGTGCAGTAAGGTGTTAGCATTTTTCGCTCGTTGCTAATTCAGAGGCTCAGTGTTAGCATTGTGGGTTTTCTTTTGAAAAAAAATAAAAATGATCAGTTAGATGAGTTTCTTCCCGTTACATGGATATAAAACATTCATAGTTTTATTAAATGAACATGCCCTCAGACACTGTTTCCTGCAAGATGTTGCGCCGGTACCGGGGGCTCTCGGGCTTAACAGGTTAATGGGGTCAACAGGTGTGCATGGCCCCCAAACGTTGTGGGTGTGACCCACAGGCCCCATGTGTCCCTGTACCAAGTTTGGAGGCCTTGCTAAACTTTTGACATATTTTATCTGTCTCCTATCACTAGTAAATCATTAGGCGCGTTCACACCGGAGTACTTTTCCCCGTACTTTTCCCGCTTAGTTCCGTTAGTACCCCTTATTTTGCGTTCACACCAAAAAGAGTACTTAACTTTTACCCCCATTTTTAGTGCCTGCTAAGGTGGTACTATCCTGGGGAGAAAAAAGTACCAATTTTTATTGGCTGGGCGAATTGCAAACCACGCCCCGTAAAACTCTGAAAGGTTTGGTGAAGCCGCCATTGTATTTGCTGGCATTAGCATTATTAGCATTAGCATTAGCCCCGCGCACCAACGGAGAGAGAATAACTTATGGCAACACAAAAAAAGACATAGGAGCGGTGGAGTGATGAGGAGGTGTCGGCGTTCTAGCGATTTACTCGGAAGGCTTCAGTAGAAGCTGCTGGGAGTCCCAGCAGCTTCTACTGAAGCCAGTCCCCAACTCCGGGGACTTCCGGCCGGGGACTCCGGGTGGCAGTATACGCCGTGAAGTTGTTTGCGGCCTGCCAGTAAACCCAAAGCAGAAGAAGACGAAGTGACGTCAGCGGCTCATTTGCGTAATCTTCCCTCAGGGAACTTATTCCGGTGTGAACGCGATCTGTACTTAGTTCCATGGGGGTACTAAGTGCCGGGGCACTAAATGCCGGCACTAAGTACGGCAAAGTACTTGGTGTGAAAGCGGCTATTGGGTGGC